GAAACACGCCATACTACTTCCGTGTCTTAGCCAACACGCTGCCCAGCAGGTGCTGGGATTTTTCACAAAATGTGTGCGGTCTCACAAACCCTCACCTCCAAAGTCACTGATTCTTGTTACAGACGCGCTCCTTTGCATTTGGCTCCCGGCTCATGGTGTACAGTCTTTTAAGAGTAAATGACGATGAGGATAATGGTAACGATACTTCCGCGCGATACCATTGCGAGCATTACGCACGTGCGTTGAACTTCCTTCGCACCGCACGTAGCTAACCGCGCCGACCGAAGGTGTGTTACAATACGCGTCGGGAATCGCGGCGTGTGCGATGCGCGTGCACGTCGCGGCGCGCAGACACCGTAAGTGGTGGTGGTGATGGTTTGGAAGGAATGTGTCCACGGGAAGGCTCTTGTCTGATGATGAGGGCTGGGGCTCGAGGCGGCTCCCACGGTACCTTGAGTAAACCGGGAGAGAGAAGAGAAGAAGACGATACCCCCCCACCCACCACCACCACCACCCCCCAATAACACCTGGGTGGTCAAGGTGCTCACACAATTTCCTCCCTGCAAATCCAATGGGTGGCCGTAAACATTTTGAGCATCGCTCGCTCTCCGACGCTCGTGGCCAGGCCCTTCCTCACCCCGTGTGTGCTGCTCGCCGCCGTGACCGTCGACGTTTCGCTTCCACGTGCTCGGAGCCTCCATCGGGAACTGTCGTCGGCACGATGTGTGACCACTGAAATCAGTGATTTCGACAGAAATTCAGTTTCCCTGAAGATGCTCCCCCCCCCCCTGGGACGTGGAGCGAAACACAAAAACAAACAAAAAAACAACGTCGGACATTCAGCGGAAAACAACAGCGCAACCTGAGCACACACCGGGTATAGCCGTGCGGCACAACTGCGAAAACATAAGCGGCGGTAATTCGGCGGTGTGTGTTCTATTGTCAAAGATAATTCACACCAATGACATGTCGAAGTTTTATTATTATTATTAATGTCCAGGGATCGGCAACCAAAATAACAAGAAGATATTTTTTTTCCGATTCGATAAAAAAAACCTTCAATATTTGAAGAGCCGCAGCAATGCACTGCGGATGAATACGAGAACGGTGGTGATCCTTGGTAAATGACGGTGACGAAGCAGTCGCTAAGAGAGCCGCGTTGCGGGGCTCCGGAGCCGCAGGTTGCTCGTCCCCCTGCTCATGTCCCACGTGGCTACGTTGTGGGACACTGCAGGACAATCACCAACTCGCACCGATCACCGCGACGGCATCCGGTCAAATAACCCCTTCGACCCGCACGCTCGGGGGAGGACCTCATCCAGCAGTGGACTGACAAAGGGCTGTACATTTGATGTGTATGCACAATTACGCCCGTTCAGATAATCTGCTGCTCTACGTAAAAGCCAATAGATCAAATCAAAGCTTTTGCTGCTCAATTGCACATCAGGTATTCTCCTTTTTTTCAAAGCCCAGATTCATTGGTGCAAATTCCACATTCCAATGGTGGTGGCAAGTATATCCACAGGACAACCACTGTTGACCTACCCACAAAGCACTTCTCAAGTTATCGACCCCGGTGGAATTAAGAGCCGAGTTAGTCCCCAACCGGGATTTGAACTCGTAACCTTTCTACCGCTTGCCGCGAACACTGCCGATGGGCCACCCAGCTGTGTGTTTACACAGAGATGGGGCTTTTAGATATGTCCCGTGTCTTGTTTTGAATAAATATTGACCCGTCCCTGTGAGTGAATTTGTCACGGAGAGACATGTGTTAGTATTTAGTGTTCGCTTGATGCGGTCCACAAGCTGTGTTGTGCCAATGACAATGATGGCGATGGCAATGGCCGGGAGTGGGGGGGGTCGGCAAATCTGCGGCTCTCGAGTCGTATGCGGCTCTTTCAAGGACCGCTTCGTGGCGCCATTTTCACGTCCATTGCGGCTCTTGAAATCTAAAAAAAATGCCTCTTTTTCTTATTTTGGTTGTCGACCCTGACAATGATCATTGTTGCGGAGAGATCATTGTGATGACAATGAGCTTCACACTATTTTAACAGGTATGAGGCCTAAGGATCCTTTTTTTGGAGGGTTTTGCATTTAGAATGTGGGTCAATTCCATGAATGTTTAGTCAGGTGGGAGGGAATCACAGTAACTGGAGAATACCCATGGATCAAAGGGGATAATGGCTAAAGCTCCACACAGATAGATCCAATAATCTGTTGCTGTGTTCACATCTTCTCCTGGCCACCTCGCAGGCCAAGCCCAAAACACCTCTAGTATACACGGGCAGTTTCCCATCCAAGTGCTGACCAGGCTCAATTCCGATTGGGATCCAAGATCCGTGAAGGTTGGGCGCATTCAGGAAGGTTTGGTCATATATCGTGAACAATTGTGCAGCCTTTTTAGGAAGACGCAATCAAAATAACAAAGGTACGCTCTGTATTGTAGATGCGTACCTGGGGGGGGGGGCATGTCTCAGTCTGCCTGACGCGAGGTTCAAGCTGCATTAATGAGATATCAAAACATGCCAAATTTGAGGTCAATCTCGCCATTATTGCACTCGCTGTAACATCATGCCCACGCCTCTTCCTTTTCATCATCCATGGGGTCTCATCGCTCATGCGCTCTGACGGAGCACCACCGCACGTGGCCGTGACTTGAGAGTCTTTTGTGCGCGTGCGCGCGCGCGCGCGTGCGTGTGTTTGTGTGTGTGTTTTTTTTTAACGAGTAACAAACTTTAGACTCGCGTGGGACAACCTCGGGGGCATATGTATCTACAAGACGGGGACCATTCGTCTCCTTGAGCTGCGTCGTTAAGCGATCCCATAACCCAGTGGGTGGTGGCCGTTGTGAGAGCCAGAGCATCGCGACTCAATTAATCGCCCCCCCCCGCTCCTCCTCTCTCTCTCTCTCTCCCTCTTTCTCCACGCAATAAACTAGCGCTCTTCAACTCGGCCGTCCCAAATGCACTGTCGGGGCACTTCTGTTGCCCAGCGTGTGTGTGTGGGGGGGGGGCGGGGGGCATCAATAAACGAAAGGTCATTACTAAGGCCGTGCGCGCGAGACGCCTGCCACACGCAACAAAGCCCCCGGCTCCCGTGCGGGGTCTCTGTCGGCTCTTGGCGTCGGCTGTTGCAGGGTTCACGCACGCACCTGCGCTAGGAGAAGAGCAAGGCGGCTCGGGAACGCTTCCCGCACACACACACACAAAACAACGTCACGCCGGGCACACACACACAGAGGTAACCTTTTTTTCTTCTTAAAGGCTGACACTGCGACGCAACGAGAGGCTGGGTGTAACGCTGCCCTGTCGCACACCGAGGAATGCGTGCGGAGAAGGAGGGCACAGACAGAGTTTGGTGATTTTCTTTTATTTTGCTGCTGCTGCTGCTGCGTTGGCCAGTGGTGCTGAAGCACAAATAAGAGGAGCGTTACGGTGGCTAGGAGATGTTAACTACCTCGCTTAGTATACAGGAGGTCGTGGGTTCGATGCCGACCCTGACGCCTGCTGTATTTTTGGAGTTTGACCGTTCTCTCCATGGTCGCATGGATTTTCTCCGGGTCCTCCGGGGTTTCTCTCCACATTTAGAAACATGCCTTTAGAGGATTTGGCTGCTATACATTTCCACATGATAAGCCACTTTTGTTGAGCTATCATTTGTGGCTGCATCGCATTTTGGAAAAGAGCTACATCGCTCAGTGGGCATTACCTGGTAAAATAAAAATAGTTAAAAATAAAATTCAAACAATATAAAAACTCAAAACCTAATATATGACTAAATACAACTAATAAATACGTATAAGAATAAATATATAGAGTTACTAGGTTTTCAAAGCATCTCTGCCCTGAAAGCACTCGATTGGCTGCAAACATAATCGCTCATCTGCATGGGGCCGTGTTAATAATATGGTTGAAATCAGCACTTCCAGTTTGCTGTGCAAAGGCTGACCGCTGAAGCGAACTCAACAGATGGTATAGCATATGTATAGCACATATGGTATAACACATATGGTATAACACATGTGGTATAACACATATGGTATAACACATATGGTATAACACATATGGTATAACACATATGGTATAACACAAATGGTATAACACAGCCCTGCAATGCTCAACATATTAATTGTTGCCATCGTCATGATGGTGTTAATGATCGTTATGAATCAAGAACCGCAGCTGCAAGCGTTATCTCGAGATGTGATTCTCTAACCTATGAATGCCATCGTCTTGTCAATCTTGTCTTTGTCATGTTACATTTCTGACTTAACTATCGTGACTGCAGGAATTCATATTCCTTGGTTCATTCGGTAAAGTCACGTAGATAGAAAAATAATAATAATAAAACATGAAGTGAATAATAAAAATAATAAAAATAAAACCCAAAGCCCCCTTTCCTGAGGACGACCGCTTGTGTTGCGATCGAAACTTCGTGGTTTTTCATCTGTATTTTATATTTTATTATTATTATTTGTCATTTGTATTCGCTTTATTATTTTATTATTTTTCTATCTACGTGCCTTTACCGAAAGAACCAAAGAATAAGTTACATTTCGTATCACGCTGTTACCATTAAACATGCACACATTGGTCGCCGTTGGACCATCGTTGGCTCAACGTCAACCAACGTTGCGTGCTCACTGCGAGCCTAAAATTTAATCCAATCCAACCCTACTCAAGGTTCCCATAACTTCGCCCAATTTCAAGAAGGGCGTTCGCTCTCATCAGCAACACTATCGTGAGCGCCCTTTAAGTTGCTCCTAATTTTCCCCGATAGGCCATCGGGGCCTACAATAAAAAAAAATGAAAATAAAAAATATTCTCTGTGTGTCTATGTTGTGTGTCTCTCTCTGTGTGTCTCTGCATTGTCTCTCTCTCTGCTTGTGTGTCTGTCTGTGTGTCTCCGTGTCTGTGGTTTGTCTCTCTCTCACAATTAGTTCTACCTGATGACGATTGCTTGTGTTGCAATCTAAACGTCGTATTCTATTATTTAAATTATATTCTTTCTACGTGACTTTACCGAAAGAACCAAAGAGTAATTCCTGCAGTCACGAAAGCTTCAAATCAAGTTTGAAAAAAATATAGTCAAGGACTGTTTATTTTTCATCTTCACAACAATATCTCTGCTCTGCAAGAAGGGCCATTTCCCCGAAAAACGTCGCTTTATTATACAGGGTGGTCCATTATGTCGTGTGACCCGCATTTAATTCTCTAAAACTGTATATATATTTTAAAAAATGAAGATTTATTTAAAACAGAAATGAATATGCAAATGAAAAATGTAAAAAATGTTAAATTAAGGGTACATTAATTGGGGCTCACAAGACATCTTGACCATCGCCTGTATCTGTCACCCTCTTCAGAGCCACGGTGTTGTTCACAATCGGCGTCGATTTCTTTTGCTCATCCTTCTCTTGAACACTTCATGTCTCACACATTGCCCGGCTCCTTCAGCGTCTGGATCCAGGGGGGGGGGGGGGGGGGGCATACAGGGTTGACGCGTTCGTACGTTCGAAAACATACAACACCACGTGCCAGATGTGCCAGCGGCGCATCTGTTGCGAAACGTTTCTTGAGTCTTCAAGGCGGCTCCATTTGTGTAGATTGCACGATCAACCTGCGAACTGATTAGCGGTTACCTCATGCAATTCAACATCACGAATACTCCACCCCCCCATCCCTAAAAAAAAAAACGTTTATACTGTACGTATAATTAGATAATGGCATTCGGAGAACATTTTAAACAACTGGAATGGTACAATCAAGCGACCGAATTGGTTTGAATTAAGTTTTTTTAGAATCAAGTATTCCTTACAGACTTAATTACTGCGCGCGCTGTAGCTGTTGAGGCTCCTTGTTGCCAGGCGAACGAGTCGCTTTGTCTATGTCCGAGAGAGTGGATGCAGACACGCGAAGCTCCCCCCCCCCAACCAACTCCCCCGCCCCCCCCCCCCTCTTCGTTATTAATCCTAAAACCGTGGAATTTCTCTCTTCCCAATCGCGATGTCCCCTTTGGGTGCATGGCGTCACGCGAGGAGACGTTGGTGGTACAATGGGCCCGTATCGCCACGGTAGCGGCACTGTCAGATTGATGTCCCCACTCACCACCCCCCCCCCACCCCCCCCCCCCCCCCCCCCCCCCCCCCCCCCCCCCCCCCCCCCCCCCCCCATCGAATTTATTGGCCGGACTTGGATCACAGGAAGCTTTGAGACAAAGTTCCAGTGGCGGCATCGTTTGAGAGGCCAGGAGTCGCGCATCAAGTTGCAGGGTCTCCACTCTTTTAGCCACGAGTTCGAACGCGGACATGATTTCTCAGTCGAGCGCGCCTAGGTTCTGTAAACAAAATAAAAAAATCCCAAACCAAACCGCTGTGCAGTGTCCTGCAGTAAAGTTCAACGCAATACCGGTACCAGAGCTGAGCACAAATCAGTTCCTGACGCCACGAACGCAGACGCATGTGTTGTACTGTATGTTGAACTTCTTTCGCACCGTACGTAGTCAACCGTGGCTAATCGGAGGCGCGGTAGAAGGTCAACAAACTTAATATATATAAAAAAAGATGCCAATACCCGTACCACCGGGATTAAACCCAGGCAGGTGGCAACCCTTAGTCCTGTAACAAGAGCACATTTTTTTAGCCACTGATTGAGTTATAATTGGTGTCATATTGTAATGACATGATGACACCTGCTGGCTTGGAAAGGGAAGCACGGGTACGGGCACGGTCAAGGGAACATCCAATCGGAGAGGGAGAGGTATCTGGGGCTCGGGGCTCACGTGTGGATCCTTGGGTCCTGGCTGCGTCGCTGCTCGCCGACATCTCTCTCCGTCGTGCGGCCACGTGGAAGATCTCCTGTGGGGTTTCCATCGCCATCCTCGGCTGCGCCGCCAGCCAGCGGCGTGGTCGAGTGAGGGCGGCGAGATCACGCCGAGTGATCGGCTGTGTGTGTAGCCAGTAGAGACGTTAATATCTCAGTGTTGTGCTCAGAGCGAGAGGAATAAGGGTTGGCTTGTGTTGTGCTCAGTGTGAGAAATGAAAGAAGTACCGCATACACGACGTGTCACGGAAGTCGCTCATTACACTATCAAGAGCACGACGTTTCGCGCGATGATGCTGGATGTAATTACCGGCGAAACGTCGTACGACTTCAAATTGTAAATGTTGTGGATTTTTCTCTCCAACGCGCCGGTGGGCTGAAGTAGTGAACTATTTGGCGTTTTGTTCACGTGGCGAATCCCTTACTAATTGGCCGTGTCGGTGGTGGAGAGTTACGAAACATTTATACCCCAAAATAGCGTGACTTTGAAATATTGGGAACGTCGAAGTCCGCCTGCCGTGTGCACGGCTCTGGCGAGAGGATCGCGCGCTAACAGTGCCACTGAGAAACATTTCGCGAGTAAGTTACTGAAAGTATATTCTTGGTTCTTTCGGTAAAGTCACGTAGAAGGGAAACAATAAAATAATAAAAATATAAAACAATAAAATATTTTTAATTTTATTTTATTTTATAAAATATTTTGAATTTTATTTTATTGTTTCGCTTCGACGTGACTTTACCGAAAGAGCCAAGAATATGAATCCCTGGAGTCACGAAAGCTTTAAATAAAAATTTGACTGAAAGTACACAGTCTCGTGTATATATGTGTACACTCATTTGTTACTTCTGTCCAGCGCAGTCCTGCCCGCCGTGAACACGGGGCATGATGTTAGTTCGTTGTGTCAACTGCAAATGTTCGTATCTTACCCTCTATAAAAATTTCGGATTATTTCAATATGTATATATATATTTTTTTAAAAATAACAAAATTTATTGTCAGCGTGAGTAGAAGCCACGGTGAGTGCAGTTGTTTTGCCACCTCCGTGTTGATTCGTTTCCTTGTGTTGGGAACGTTTATTCATTTTTAAAAGTGTCACAATTTGTGGTTCCGTAGAGGGTGGCGGGGGCAGGGAGGGATGGAGGGAGGTCACCTCCCAGAAGGAACTCCCAGCATTTGTAAGGAGCTCTCTCGAGCTAAAGCGAGCCCCCCCCCCCCCCCCTTGTCAAGCGCGATCACCTCGTGGTTTACATTCCAGACGCCCTCCGATAGCGCCCCCATGGAGTCTCTCAGCTTCCGCCCCCTCCCCCCGTTTCCGATGAGAGAGCTTGGCCCGCGAGCCGCCATCAACAACAACAACAACGACAACAACGACGGCGACAGAAGCAAAGCGACAGAAGCAAAGCGACAGAAGCAAAAGCGACAGAAGCAAAAGCGACAGAAGCAAAGCGACAGAAGCAAAAGCGACAGAAGCAAAAGCGACAGAAGCAAAAGCGACAGAAGCAAAGCGACAGAAGCAAAGCGACAGAAGCAAAGCGACAGAAGCAAAAGCGACAGAAGCAAAGCGACAGAAGCAAAGCGACAGAAGCAAAGCGACAGAAGCAAAAGCGACAGAAGCAAAGCGACAGAAGCAAAGCGACAGAAGCAAAAGCGACAGAAGCAAAGCGACAGAAGCAAAGCGACAGAAGCAAAGCGACAGAAGCAAAAGCGACAGAAGCAAAGCGACAGAAGCAAAGCGACAGAAGCAAAAGCGACAGAAGCAAAGCGACAGAAGCAAAGCGACAGAAGCAAAGCGACAGAAGCAAAAGCGACAGAAGCAAAGCGACAGAAGCAAAGCGACAGAAGCAAAAGCGACAGAAGCAAAGCGACAGAAGCAAAGCGACAGAAGCAAAGCGACAGAAGCAAAGCGACAGAAGCAAAGCGACAGAAGCAAAGCGAGCGACAGCCATCCCCAGCTTGTGGCGGGACGCCCGCGTTGCCTCCCGCCCTTGGATGGGCGCCGTGGTCGCTGTGGGGGGGGTGGGGGGTGGGGGGGGGTGACGTCGTGCGGTGCGTTCAGATCGGGACAGATGAGGAGGAGGGTGAGGAGGGGGAGGATGGGGAGGGGGAGGATGAGGAGGGTGATAAAGAGGATGATGAGGAGGAGGATTATGATGAGGAGGGGGAGGAGGAGGATGATAAAGATGATGAGGAGGAGGATTATGATGAGGAGGGGGAGGGTGAGGAGGAGGATGATAAAGAGGATGATGAGGAGGAGGATGATGAGGAGGGGGATGAGGAGGAGGAAGATGATGATGAGGAGGATGAGGAGGGTGAGGAGGAGGAGAGTGATAAAGAGGATGATGAGGAGGAGGATGATGAGGAGGGGGATGAGGAGGAGGATGATGAGGAGGAGGATTAGGATGAGGAGGGTGAGGAGGAGGATGATGGCACCTCGCGGTGACCCTTCTTAATGTCGTCGCAGGCAAGAATGTGAAGTGTTGCACGGCGCCCCTCCCCCCCCCACTAGCTGAGCGCGTGCGCTTGGAATGGCCCAGTTAAGTCAGCTAACGAGCATGCGTCTTGGGTTCTAAAGCCCTCGCTGTTGTTTACCCGTTGGCCATCGGTGCGTTGCAACCGCACGGTGTTAAGAAGGGACACGTTTCATCGCTCGCTTTGAGGCTTGTGCTCCCTTGGCATTGCGTGGGTAGGGAGGGAGCGGTGGTTCGTGCACTTCGCTATGAACCCTGCCGCCTGAGTTTGATCCGCGGCGATGGCCAACGTCAGCGGCGAGCGATATCTCATCTGACCAGCGAGGTGAATTGCGGCCAATCGACCGCGACAACTGACACTGCTAAATGGGGAGGCCAGAAGTGAGTCGTTTAGTAAATACAGCAGCACGTCCTTTCTATTGCGAGCATGCTTGCCGTGACCTCAAACCACCGAGAGGATGTAATTGCTATTTCACCATGCCGAGAGAATTCCAAAAGATCACAGCAAACCGAGTAATCATCATAATTAATAACGACCTTCGTGCATCCATGAGAGACCCACCGAGGCTTGAGGCTCTTTTTTTCGTCAGAAGGATCCTGCATTGTGATGTTTGGCCAATTCCACGTTTGGCATGCGGGATGAAACCAGGACACCTGGACAAAGCTCGCGCATAAAAGGGAGTTACGCTTAAGCTCTACACAGATGGATTAAATAATCCATTACTTTATTAGTTTAACACAAAGGCTTTCGCGACCAATAGTATCCATGACAAAGGTTTTTGGGTTAGATCGCGCAAACATAAAAGCGTCGTTAACCCACTACCACCCGATACAGCCAATTAGTAAGGGTTGTCACGTAAACAAAACGTGTCAATAAGTGACGACTTCAGCACACCGGTGTGTTGGTGGGTAAACCCACGACATTCACAATAAAGTAATGTCCATTCATTTATTTCCCTCTCTTGGCCACCCTGCTGAACAGGCCAAGAGCACCACACCTGGGTTTTCCCAGAGAGTCTCTCACCCGAGTACGACTCACCAGGTGCAAAACCTGCTTAGCTTCCAAGATCCAGCGAGTTCGCGAATATCCAGGCTGATTTGGTAATTTTCCAAGTTATGATTATTATGCAACGCTCACTGACGGCATTCATGCAACGCTGCGTTACTTATTGCTTCCGGTGTTGACCTGTATGTGGCAGACTTAATGGTGTTGATTTTAAATACCATTATTCATGCTCGACTCTGCTCCGCTGTGTATAAAACTCATAGTGGGTGGCTGCTACCACCTGTGCAGTGACACCGTTTAACAATAATAATTTATTATGATAGCTCTTTGTTAATTTACTGCTGGGTGAAGGCCTTCTCAGACCGTGGGGGCTGTATCAGCATACTTCACCCATGCTGGTCAGCGTAGATGGTGAAGGGAGTGTTCAGCATTGGTGCAGATATCACTCGCCACTGATGTTAACCGTGGCCAAGAATCTAACTTGGGTCACTGAGTTCAGAGTGCAGTGTGAAATAATGAATGCAGACACCGAGATAATGGATCCAGGTCTGTTCTAACTCTCGGTCACCACTTTAAAAAAGCACGTGTTAAAGTCGCAACTAGGCAGGAGTAGTAACATTACTCTTAATTAAGCCACGTTGTCATTCGCGCTAATGACAGAGTGCGCAAATAAGCGCGGAGAGATGCATTCTTAGAATTACACTGAGAGACAGAAAATAAGCACGTGTATGAGAGAACATATGTTGTTTAAAGACATTGTTTTAACTGTCAAGAAAAAATAATGAGTGGTCTTTGGCAGGACACGTTGCGCGAAGGGTTGGTGACTGATGGAAGAAACGAACGATGGGAGTGGCAGCTAAGAGAGGCAAACTTGCGGAGTGATGAGATGGAGCCATGAAATCAGCTCGTGATTATTATTATGTTGGGCGGATTTCAGCAGATAATGGTGGCTTGGTGGGAGGTTCGGGAGGGCTTCATCCACCGCTGGATTGGATCACGGCTGATGAAGGAGATGATGAATGTGTTGGCGAAGTCTAATAGTGACATGGGTATTTCTGGCATTGGCCAATGTTGTCAACAGAGGATACAAATATTTCCCATCTTGACGAATCACTCAAAATTCGCATTCTCGCGAGCGCGTGCGATATTAAATCCGGCGCACAAACGTCACGTCTTGAATCAACCCCGACAGCTGCGACGCACTGTGGAGTGATAATGGGAGTACGCGGAATTTTGGCGAGAAAATTTGCAAATTGAACACAAACATTGAACCACAACTGGACCCTAAATTTTCTCCACATGTCCATTTTTTTGTCTAACGTTGACCATATTTGCGCTAATAACAGTGCCCAAAGAAGCGCGGAGAGATGGCCATATTTGGTGTCCGTGTAGAGGGGGAAAAAATGCGTAATTAAAGCAGCCACACACGTAAAAAAACAAGGTGTTGGGTTTACACAGTTTAATTTTAAAAAAATCAACTTTTTCGAAAGTCAATGGTTTACGATCATTTAGGTCACACTGGGCTTATGCAATGAAGCTCCGTGGTCATGGACGCTTCAGCTGTCAGTAGAATGCGCACACCATGCAATGCACGTTCACATAGCGTGTGCAAGTGCAACCACATCGCCAGGCGGTGTACAGGTGACCTTGGCCAACATATATCACATCTTGTTGTGGCAGCTCTCTCGCTGCGTTCTTCCTGGTTCAGCAGTTCCACTGCTGGGTTATTTTTTTCCGCCTGAGGACGATCGCTTGTGTTGTGATCGAAATGTCGTGATATATTTGTATTTTTTTATTTTTCTACCTACGTGACTTTACCGAAAGAACCAAAGATTGTAGTGTACAGGAAGCCATTGCGCATTAGCTAATCGGGTAAAAAGCTAGGTAACACAGAGAGAATGAAACTAAACAAACACTTTTATCCGCATTGGCATGAATACTAAAATCTTGACTTGTCTCAACTGCACCAAGTTCAAGTGGAAGAGTATTCGGTTGCTATAAATGTCCACGCGATAAGCCACTTCGTGGTGCTATCATTTGTGGCCAGGTCACTTCTGATAAAGAGTTCTATAGCCCAGTGGACTTTACCTGGTAAAATAAAAAATACTTTTTAGTTTAGTTAGTAATTCCAGCAGCCACAATCCGAAGCCGAGAAGGAGCGACGACCTCCCGTGGAACGGGGGCGGGGGGGCGGGGGGGGGGGTTGGCTGTGGGCTGCTCAGCAGAGTGAGATAAGAGGGGAGAGATAGATGGATACCTGACCACGAATAATCTTCATGAGAATTGTGGACAAAACCCTCCCCCCCCTTCAATCCACCTGTCCCCCCCCCCCCCCAGCCTCCCCCCCCAACGCACACAACCAAAACCACATACTTGTCTCTCTTTGTGGCAATGCATCACTTACAGAAGTAAAAATCCGTGCAGCGCAAAAAAAACATCACCGGGTGATTGATTGCAGACTATCGGACCTATTACGCCGGCGCTTCACTCACTCCCTCCGTCTGCCCTCTCTCGCCTTCTCCATAAAAAAGCGGTTTAAATTGTTCACAAACGCCCCATTTAGCCTCAACAGCTCTGCGCATTCCAGCAATCCCTGAAGTGGGAAGCCGATCTGGGCTGAGGCGGGCTGCCACAGGAGACCTGTTCTGTGGACACAGCGAGAGAGAGAGTTGGCGGGGCTGCTTTCACGAGCCATGGGCGATGCTCACGGTTTTGCGTGGCTCAGAGGTGGCCAGGTGGGTCAGAGCAATCATAAAGCCCATGCAGGAGTGCTAAAACAATCATTATAATAACAATGCCCTTTAGATAGTTTTTTGGATTACACCGCATGTTAAATTTTGATTTAAAGCTTTCGTGACTGCAGTAATTCATATTCTTAGTTCTTTCGGTAAAGTCACGTTGAAGGGAAACAACAAAATAATAAAATATATATAAAACAATAAAAATTCTCACGACGTTTCGACCATAACACAAACGGTCGTCTTCAGGTGTGTTGGTTATATATTTTATTATTTTGTTGTTTCCCCTCAACGTGACTTTACCGAAAGAACTAAGAATATATACACCGCATGTTGTTCGGCACGACGTCCGACGTTGCGCTCCACGTGCTCACATCGCAGAGCCATGCAGCACAACAGTGACAAACCCAGGCCGTAGTGAATCATGTAATGCCCTTCATCTAACGAGCCCTTACTGAGTCTCAGGACTCTTTCAGGAGGGCCCTGCTACATTGGGATATTTGGCCGATTCTGTTAACGAGTGTTTGGCATCGTGTGGGAGGAAACTGGGGCATACGATGAAAATCCAAGCATACGAGGAGATTACACTGCACAGATAGAAACGAGAAACCATTGCTTAATTGTTATGACCCGGACACTTTTCAGCCCACTGAGCCACCACATCTGAGATCCTGGGTTTGAATTCTAGGATGAGATAATCCAGGTTCTTACACGCAGCCAGTGAGCAGTCACAGCATGGTTATAAAGTGTAATACTGAATTTGTAAAAAACTAAAAATAAGCCATTTGTCAATCCACTGCTGGATGAAGGTCTTCTCATGCTATGCCGGTCGGGGAGGTTGTGTGACTATACTTCACTGCAGTGGTCAGTGTGGGTCGGTGCACGGTGAAGTCCAGGACCAGTTCAGACATCACTCTCCACTAATGTCAGCCATGGCCTAGAATCAAACTCGGGTCACCGGGGTTCATAGTGCAGTGCATCGCCACCGCTCTATTTATCCACTCTGCTAAGTTGCCTAAACCATATTAACCAATTGTCTATGAAGAAGGAAACGCTATTGTCCGATATGTTGCCTGCTACATATATATTTTCCATAGGACGGCAATATTATTGACGAATGCGTTGATTTGTGTGTGTGTGTGTGTTTGTTAATAATGCTCATGCCCCCATTGCCAACGCAGCATCACCTCCAAATAATGTTTCAGTTTAAAGGAATGCAGCTCTTGCTCAACCGTAGCAGTGACCAGCAAAATTTGTCGCGAATAACTTTCGTATGTTTTTATTTTAACAAGCGACGGTATATATATATATCTTGACTTAAAGCTTTCGTGACTGCAGGAATTAATATTCTATTAGATATATTAATCTAAAACAAATCGCAACTCTCTAAGCATTTTTCTTCTGCCTGACTGGATTGGAACGGCCTCGCGGATGTAAATTGTGTTGCGATTCAATGGACGCGCGTGTTCACCTCCGAGTAGTTTTAACGCATGCAGGTAGGTGCGTGCCTCTGAGTCGCACCGGTCGCCCTCCTTAAATCGCCTTGCGCGATTTAAAAAAAAAAGACATCTGAGCCAAGGACGATGACGGCGGCGATGACGAAAGTGATTCCCAGGGGGTGCATTGCGTCTCTTCCGCTATGCATGAGACCATTGATTAACGACCTCAATTTCAATCTGTTTTGCTTTTAAATCACTCGTCCCCACCCCCCCCCCTCGCCTTCAGATGGCTTGGCCAGTTGGCTCTCGCCTGCTGGGAGGTTACTCACGAACTGAACTCCCAACAGCAGCTCCCAGCACGTGCAGCGAAACGTCGGGCATCGTGCCTAATGACGCGCGGTGCAACCCAAAAAACATCATCGCGGGAGATGCACGGCGCAGCCGCAAAGACGTACGCAGTGGTTTGGCCAA